CACCATGTTGACCAGGATGGTCTTGATCTCTTGACCTCGTGATCCACCCGCCTCGGCCTCCCAAAGTGCTGGGATTACAGGCTTGAGCCACCGTGCCTGGCCAATATCCAGGTTCTTGCATTGGGACTGATTAGGCAAACAACTTGACCCACAGAGAACAAAGAAAAGAAGGATGGGGTGATGACCCAACTGGGAACAGCCTGGAACCAAAGGAACCCAGTCAAGGGAAGTGGTGAGTGTGGTGCAGCCCCAGTCAGGAAACCACACTTTCCCCATGGATCTTTGCAACCTGCAGATCAGGAGATCCCCTTGTGAGCCCACACCACTAGGAGCCTTTTAAACATATGAATGTATGCTGATGCTTTCATTTTATCCTGAGCTCCCTCATCACACCCTAAATCCAGAGCTTCTTACTCAAACTTCATCAAGTTCTGCATGCCGTGTTATATGCTGCCCCACCAAACTGAGTTTAACAGTGCTGCCCAAAACTTTAAAAGCATTATCTAACTATTAACTTCTGTTCATTCTCATCAAGCCTTATTGTGTGATGCTATGCCCCTTACGGACATACACACTGTATGTCATTCAATCTAAAATTCTACTAAATATATGTTCCATAATTTCTTGCACCACTAAGAAATATAAAACCTTGCCAATTAAACTATGACAATACTTTTTTTAACCACTTAAAATTTTTATTTTAAAAAATTTAAAGGGGTTCTTTTAGACCAGGGATTTGCAAACTATAGCTCATGGTCCAAATCCAACCACCTGTTCTTGTAAATAAAGTTTAATTGAGAAGTAGCCAAGTTCATTGGTTTCCCTTTTGGCTGCTTTTGCACTACAATGGGAGAAGTGAATAGCTGGGACAAAGATAGGATGGCCTTTAGAGGCAGAAATATTTATCTGGCCAACCCCTGCTCTTGCTTCATTTAGACACATTTTTTAAAAATCACACTGGCCAGGCACAGTGGCTCACACCTGTAATCCCAGGACTTTGGGTGGCCAAGGCAGGCAGACTGCCTGAGCTCAGGAGTTCAAAACATGGCGAAACCCTGTCTTTGCTAAAAATACAAAAAATTAGCTGGATGTGGTAGCAGTGCCTATAGTCCCAGCTACTTGGGAGGAGAGGCAGGAGAATCACTTGAACCCAGGAGGCGGAAGTTGCAGTGAGCCGAGATCGCACCACTGCACTCCTGCCTGGGTGACAGACTAAGACTCTGTCTCAAAAATAATAAAAATTAAAAATCATACTTTATTTACACACAAGAGTATTATAAATAAACTGGTCATTCTTTACAATGACTAGGCAAGAAAACATAGATTTGTGGTCATTTCTCTAAAAACAAATATTGACTCCACTAAATTCAAATTTTGGCCCTGCTGATTTGTTTTCTGTCCCCTTTTTATTTCACTGCCAAATCATCATGTCATCTTTTTGAAAATATTTTAAATAGGATCAGCAATAAAGACTGGGCTTCTCATTTGGGATCACTGCTAGGGCTGAAGTCCTCTGACAGTTCTGTAGGTTGGAAAAAAACATTTTTTCCCATACCCTTCATAGTTTTTAGGTGCCCTCCCCCACCATAATGGAAGACAGATTAACAAAAGAAAAGCTGACATTTATTAGCATGTATACATACCCAGACCCAGAAGATACCCAGGGAAAAATTAATGACTCTCATAGAGGTGGCTTAGAACTCAGGCTTTAACACCTGTGACCTTCATCTCAAAGGAAATTGAGGGAGGCAAGTTATGGAGAGGTGACTAGGAAAAGCACAGTAAACACGGCTAAGGTTTATCACGCAAATTTAAAAATCAGTCCCTTTTCTACTGAGGAGCGTCTTTATTGACTTAATGGACAGTTCAGTGGTGTTAAGTATATTCATGTTGATGGCTACCATCACTACCATCCATCTCCAGAACTTTTCCTCTTTCCAAACTGAAACTTTGTACCCAATGAATAATAACTCCCCATTCCCCTTCTCCTCCCATCCCCTGGCAGCCACCATTCTGTCTCTATAGATTTGTTTATTCTGGACATTTCATATAAATGGAACCATATAATATGTGATCTTTAATGTCTGGCTTATTGCAGGTAACAATGTTTTCAAGGTTCATCCATGTTGTGGCATGTGTCAGAATTCTTTTTCAGGATGAATCATATTCTATTGAATGCATGTGCACCACATCCTGTTTACCCATTTGTCTGTCCATTTGGGTTGCTTCCACCTTTTGGCTATTGCTGCTATAAATACATTAGGTTTTTAAAGCAAGTTAGGTTTTTAAGGCAAAGTAATGGCTGAGGGTTACATTCTGCTAGCAGATCATCTTTTACAAACAGGCTCGAGCCCCAGGAAGACAGTGTTCCACTGGCTTCTTCTTGGAGGCCAATTTTCACAAAGCTCTCGAAGTTCAAAGAGCTTGGTTAAACCTTTTCCCCAGAATACTAAGACTCGTGGCTCTATACTTACATAAGTGTTCAATCATTTAGTGGTTCTTGGCACAGCAAGAAGGAGCTACTCTGCTTTAAGGTGACTTTCTGTCCTTACTTACATATCAAACAGCTGACAGCCTAGCTAGGCAACATGGCGAGACCCCATCTCTACAAAAAAGTACAAAAAAAATTAGCAGGGCATGATGGCGTGTACCTGTAGTCCCAGCTACTTGGGGGACTGAGGTGGAAGGATGGCTTGAGCCCAGGAGGTCGAGGCTGCAGTGAGCTGAGGTCATGCCACTGCACTCTAGCCTGGGTGACAAAGTGAGCCCCTGTCTCAAAAACAAACAAAAAAGCTGGATCCCTCTCTCAGTAAGGAAAACAGGGAAAACCACTAATTTCTGAAGGGACACTCCTTAATTAGGGCATTTTACAAAACATATAACATAATATTTAAGACTGTGTTTAGAATGGGTTAGAGTAGGAGTTACATTAGGAGTTAAGAAACAGCCGCTCATGGCTAAGGTACCAACTGCAGTCAGTTGAACTTTCACACCTTCCATGTTCACAGTGACCTGGGATGCTCTTCCTGCAGGCTCAGAGGTGGTCCCCAGGTTTGCCACGTGTCCCAGGCAAGATCCATGAGGAAAGTAGGGCACCTATTCCAAAGTAAGAGTTATTAGTTTTTTTAATTGTTGATATTTTATATTTTCTTTGAAGTAGCTCTTACTCTCGGAGCAAATACCAGTCTGGTTCCACAGAGACTTCGCTCTGGTTCAGAGTTTTCTCTCGAATCCTCAGTTCTAGGCATTCCACAGTAAGGGGGTAGGTCTCCAGCTCCAACTTGTTAGCGAACATGCTAGAAGATTCATACAGCCACTTTAAATCCCCAGGGCCATAGACGCACATATCTCGCCAATAGTGGCCTGTAAGTAAACAAGAAGACATCAAGGAAAACAAAGTAAAACAATCACCAAAACAAAGACATCTTGCATCCTGGAGAGAAAAAGCATTCTGGATTCGTTCAACTCTGAGATGAGTGTTTACTGTGTACGATACGCTGCTTCGTTTGCAAATGATTCTATCAACTGCATTTATTTGCAAAAGCAGCAAGGATGAGTCTGAAATAGAATTTTGTGGGCGAATGCAAGTTTCAAGCTGAAAAGTTGTAGGAATATGTAGCACTAATTCATTCAATAAATAAGACAATGGCTATTCCTGCTATCAGGTGACACTTCCTGGTGTCATCTTGATTTGCAAGATGAATCAGGCATCTGATCACATCTGGAGAGGCATATGTAAGGAAGAGAGAATTTCCCTAAAGTACAGAATAAAACATGATATACGCCCCAGAAACCCATGGAGTACTGTGGAAGTTAGGTCAAGAAGTAGAAATAAAGGCCTACATGAGGTAGTATGTTCTTTTTCTTGCGACGGAGTCTTGCTCTGTCACCCAGGCTGGAGTGCAGTGGTGTGATCTCTGCTCACCACAACACCCGCCTCCTAGGTTCAAGCGATTCTCTTGCCTCAGCTGCCAGAGTAGCTGGGGTTACAGGTGCACACTACCATGCCCGGCTAGTTTTTTGTATTTTTAGTAGAGATGGGGTTTTACCATCTTGGCCAGGCTGGTCTTGAACTCCTGACCTCGTGATCCACCCGCCTCAGCCTCCCAAAGTGCTGGGATTACAGGTGTGAGCCATCGTACCTGGCTGAGGTAGTAAGTAGTTTTTTAAAAATTGTCTCAAATTGGGCCGGGCGCGGTGGCTCAAGCCTGTAATCCCAGCACTTTGGGAGGACGAGGTGGGTGGATCACGAGGTCAAGAGATCGAGACCATCCTGGTCAACACGGTGAAACCCCATCTCTACTAAAAATACAAAAAATTAGCTGGGCATGGTGGCGTGTGCCTGTAATCCCAGCTACTCAGGAGGCTGAGGCAGGAGAATCGCCTGAACCCAGGAGGCGGAGGTTGCGGTGAGCCAAAATCGCGCCATTGCACTCCAGCCTGGGTAACAAGAGTGAAACTCCATCCCCCAAAAAAAAAAAAAAAAAAAAAATTGTCTCAAATTGTACTTTAGTTTCTGAAGCATCTTTGCGTAGCCAATAAGTGAGAATTTGGATGACTAAGTACACGTAGTCTTATACAGAAGACAGCACTATCGTGCTGTGTGTGGTTGCAAGTTTAGGATGTGAAGTATCTCCTTTTTCTTAAGGACTCTAGTCAGTACATCCTTCCCAAGGACTCCTCTCCTCTCCATATCGCCCCTTCTTACTGACTGCCTCATCTGTCCAACTCCAAGCTGGAACTAGAAGCCACACACTTCTCCCTCCCTCCCACAATGCTTCACCTTCACAGAAACCTGGGCTGCCCCAGAAACCGTGCTGGGAAGCCTGATCTCAAAATGCCCTGCCCTCTTCTTTTCCTTGTTTTATCTTATTGCTCCTTTAGCTGATATCCTACCCCTGGGGCGAAGCTGAGACCCAAAGCATTCACAGGGTGTGACCACACAATGGTGGTGGGGGATGGTTCAGGGTTGGCAGGCGCAGGGCAGAAGAGGGACACCATGTTCTTGGGTGTTGAAAGGACCCTGTACCTGGATGGTAGGGCAGAGTTTTAAGCCTTGCATGGTGTGGTTAGAGGCGTGGCTTTAGAAGATCACTGAATTTGGCAGCAGTGTAAAGGAAGGATTTAAGGATGAAGATGCCTTCTACTGACAGGCAAATGGTGAATTCATGTGCACAGCAGGAAAGGGCAAGGGACATCCATTATAGGAAGGGGCTGGGTGAGCTGAATTGGAGAAAGGAGAAGGGTAGCAAGGCACAGGAGCTTTTTTTTTTTTTGAGATGGAGTCTCACTTTTGTTGCCCAGGCTGGAGTGTAATGGCATGATCTCAGCTCACTGCAACTTCTGCTCCCGGGTTCAAGTGATTCTCCTGCCTCAGCCTCCCGAGTAGCTGGGATTACAGGCATGCACCACACGCCTGGCTAATTTTATATTTTTAGTAGAGATGGGGTTTCTCCATGTTGGCCAGGCTGGTCTCAAACTCCCAACCTCAGGCAATCCGCCCACCTCGGCCTCTCAAAGTGCTGGGATTACAGGCATGAGCCACTACGCCTGGCCAACATGGGAGCTTTCATTGGAACCAGGAATGCAGGTCACAGAAAGGAGGCAAGGTTAGAAGTGACGTCCGTTGGCATAAGGGAGAGGAAAACACTGGGTTAGTTTTGCTTCCTGGTGAAGTAAAGTTGCAGGAAGAGATGTGGGCACACAGACACATCCACGGATTGCAGTGTGGCCCATCTCAGTATTCTAAATGCCAAATTGGCCTAGGAGGCATGCCTTCAATATTCTCTCCCAGAAAACAGGCAGCTGCTATGTTTCAGTGCATGGTGGTTTCCCAAACTGCAATCTATGAAACATGAGAGTTAAGAGAAAGACATGAAAGAGAAGAACTACCAAAAATGGGAGCGGTGGTTCTGTAGTCAAATAAGTTCAAAAAAGATTGCATGT